GCGTGCGTGCGTGCGTGCGTGCGTGGGTGCGTGCGTGCGTGCGTGCGTGCGTGCGTGCGTGCGTCTCTGTGTGTGTGTGTGTGTGTGTGTGCGCATGTGAGTTATACATTATGATTTCAGGAACCCATGCCATGGTGACATAATTGGTAAACTATTAAGGTATGGTGGATATATTGAAGAATATAGGTCCCATTGTCAGTATTTGTTAATCTCTTACATAAAGGGCGAGTCTGTTTTTCGGTCTGTCTGTCTGTCTATCTTCTCCCCCCTGGTAAGAGGTGACCCCCCAACACCATATATATTCTGAATCAGCATGACGCGACGACCATTTTAGGCCAAAAAAATTTGACCAAAAAATCTGACCCAAAAAATTTGGCCAAAAAAATTGACAAAAAAAACGTAGCGGCCTCTTCTTCCTCGACGCTCCTGGCGGAACAGGCAACACCTTCGTTACCAACCTTCTTCTGGCCAAGGTCAGCCAGACGAGGAAGATTGCCCTGGCAGTTGCTTCAAGCGGCATTGCTGCCACCCTGCTGGACGGAGAGCGCACTGCTCACTCGGCCTTCAAGCTGCCATTCAACCTGGCAAAGCGGGAAAATCCAACCTGCAACATTAGCCGTGGCTCCACAAAGGCCATGCTGTTCCAAGAGTGCAAGCTCATCATCTGGGACGAAGCAACCAATGAGCCACAAAGGCGCCTTTGAAGCACTCGACAACACCCTACAGGACCTTCGGCACAACACAAACGTCATGGGAGGTGTGCCTCTCCTGCTCTCAGGCGACTTTCGCCAAACCTTGCCAGTCATCGCCAAAGGAACAAGAGCAGATGCTGTCAATGCCTGCATCAAGTCGTCGTACCTCTGGAGCGAGGTGAACCGCCACAGCCTGAAGACCAACATGAGGGTGCAGCTCAGCGGCGATGAAGAAGCTGGCCACTTCTCTTAGCAACTGCTGGAGGTCGGCAATAGCAGACTCACCACCACAGCTGATGGCCAAGTCAAGCCGCGATTCAGCAACGCAGCGGCGGACATCACCTAGCTGATGACCAAAGTCTTCCCAAACCGTCACCTCCGCTACCAAGAACAAGACTGGTTGAGCGAGCGAGCCATCCTTGCTCCCAAGAATTTGGACATGGATGACATCAACGCCAAGCTGCCTGAGCAACTGCCTGGCGACCCAACGAGCTACAAGTCGATGGACACAGTTCCTGATCCTCACCAGGTCATGCACTATCCGACCGAGTTTCTCAACAGCCTGGCACCTTCAGGTCTGCCACCACACAACTTGGTGCTCAAGGTCGGCGCGCCCATATTGCTAATGCGCAACCTGGATGCTCCAAAGCTCTGCAACGGCACAAGGCTCACAGTGAAGCAGCTTATGCCCAGAGTCATCGAAGCCAAAATCATGACAGGCAAGGGCAAGGGCGAAAATGTCTTCATCCCAAGGATCCCGCTCATCTCATCAGACCTGCCATTTCAGTTCAAGAGGCTGCAGTTTCCAGTCAAGCTAAGCTTTGCCATGTCCATCAACAAGGCCCAGGGTCAGTCCCTCAAGGTGGTTGGACTCAACCTCAGTGAGCCAGTGTTCTCCCATAGCCAGCTCTATGTGGGGTGCTCCAGGGTGGGTAACCCAGACAACCTCTACATCCTCTCTCAAGATGGCAAGACCAAGAATGTTGTGTACCAAGAAGCGCTGCAGAACTGAACAGAAGTGAAATTCTTGGCACAGATTTATAAAATCCGAATAAGATCAGTACAGCCGTCATAGCAGACTAAATTCTAGCTCTTTAATCCCGGGCATCGCCGGGTGTATATATGTGATGCTTAAACATTGCTTCATATAGGAGCACAACTAAATCTTTTGGTCCATCATTCAGCCTCAGTGCACACATCAGATAAGTTGTTGTAAGCTATATGTATAATAACTCACCCTTTATGTAATAGATATCAGCAATTACACAATATGCCTTAACCTCTCTGTACTGTAACCCAACCTATAATGTAATCTTAGTAAACCAATTTAGCAATCTAAAAATTCTTTGCTACCTTATGGATTACATAATAATAAAACAGTATTGGGACACCTACTTTTTTAGCGCATCTGACGTAGTCAGATGCAGCTTGTAGAATCGCATGATCGTCCGTCCGTCCGTCCGTAAGGTAGGTGATTGGAACTTTGAAAAAGTGGTGGAACCCTCACCCTCTATGGATTGGAAAAAGTCCTCGGATTTGGGGCACAATATTTTTCAGACCGACCGATGAAGAAGAAAAACTGAAGAAACAAAAAATTAAAATAAAAATAAAAATTTTCGGCGAGCACCCTAACCCTAACCCTAACCCTAACCCTAACCCTAACCCTAACCCTAACCCTAACCCTCGGGCATTGCCCGATTGCCCGAGGGGCCAGTCCGCCCCTGCGCACTAGTATACTATAGTGTACACAAACTCACAGAAAGATAAAAGTGCGTGCGGTGAAATGTAGCGGTATTACAGCAGCTGTTAATATTATTACTACCGTTTATAGTTTTTGTTCACGCGAGATGGCGCTGGTTGGCGGGTTGGGAAGCGGCCAAGCGGGAGCGAGAGAGGAGATCGTAGTTTGTAATCGACGTGTGTTTTGTGGAATAATAAGTTTTAACTGCATTTACTTAGAGTGTTGCGGTTACTTTGAAATTCTGCGTTAGCGTTCAAAGACTATCAAGACAGGGGTCTGAACCCCCGATGAACAGTGAATGTATAACAATGGCATTACATTTAATTTTTAATGATTTACCCGGGTATTCTAATTGGTAGGCCTAGGCCCTAAACCGACCAGGCTCTCCGACTAGTTACACGGCGGAGGAATTGTGAACAGCGAGATGGGAACTTGTGGCTAGCCTAGGCCCTAGTGTAGCCACAAGTTCCCATAGATCTCGCTTAACACTACGTGGCGAGAGTCCTCCGCCGTGTAACTAGTCGGAGAGCCTGGTCGGTTTAGGCCTAGTGGTGCCTGGTGGTGGCCACTAGACTAGGGTTCAAGGATAGAGAACATGGGTCCCAATAAAACCAATGTCATTTACATCAATATAAATATAATATTATATCAATATAATAGGTTAAGGTTAGGCACATTGGTTTTATTGGGACCCATGTTCTCTATCCTTGGGCCGTCACTAGTGCCCAGGGGCGCAGTTCACAAAACTCCGCTAAAGTTCTCCGCTAAGTTGTCCGTTCGCTGATTAACGAAGGCATAACGGAGAACTTAGCGAACGGACAACACCTGTTTCACGAACGCTCCGCTATGCCTCCGCTAAATAGCGGAGACTATATAATGAAATGACTTAATTCTAAAATTAGATCCGGTGTATCCGGCTGTATATTTATTTCTATTCGTTTCAATTGTAATAATAACTGTGAGCATTACCATTTCTTCCTGCACTTATTCCTTCTTTTTTCTATGAAAACTTCTGTGAGTACTTCTTCACACTACAGTCCTACATCAGTACCCCAAAGCCAGTAAACCAAGTAATTGCAGTGGTGTTGAGGCTTCGTTACCTCCTATTTATGCACCTGACTCTGGTTGTGAAATATCTGCTAGCAGGTTGAATTATAGTAGATTGAGAGTTTTTTTTAATGGGTCTATTCTTGTCATTTCTCCCTTCTATTCAGGTTGTTGTCAAGAAGGTGCCAAACAAGTTATATATGGTGTCTTCAGAAGTAACGAATGGGAACATACCATACGGCGACACCTTCTATATTTCTTCGCTTTTCTGCATTACTAGCATTTCTAACAAACGGAGCCATATCGTAGTCACGTGGAACGTAACCTACGTAAAGAGCACATTCGGGTTCATAAAATGCAAGTATACCTAGCAATCCGTGAGAATATTTAGGAAGGTTATTTCACATAGGAGTGGTTTATATATTTAATTATAAATTATAGATATTCATTGATTATGTTTTTTGGCACTTCAGCATATTATCAGATGAAAAGTGCAGGTAGTTATGTTATGTGATAATATGTATTATTAACATGTGATATTGTTTCTACTTTGTTAGCATTGATCGAAAAGAACACAGATGCTGGATTGGTAGATCATTACAAAAGTCTAGGTGCGCCTGTCATCAAATATTTATGAATTAAACAAATTTCAAAGTAGCATTTATAGCTGATGGTGTAGAATTAGTGCACACACTGATTATTTATTTGTATTGATTATCAAAAGAACTATATATACGTGCCTGTCACGTGCTGGATTTAGTAGTTTAATTTGTGTCAACTGATGTTTCAGTGTTCTTATAATATATGTATTTTGTCTAAATAACCGTGTTTTCGTTCCCAGCTGAGAAATTGAAAGAGCATGCAAACACACCCAAATCATCTGGAAAACTGCGCTCTGCAGAACCCAATGCCGAATTTAAGCCAAAAATTGCAGTGCAGAGGGCACCGCAAGGTGTACCAAAAAGTGGTAAGATTTTGTAGGCGCTGACTAATTTCTTGAATGAACATAAATGAAGCCTGCCATAAATATAATAGATTTATTATATATAATTCTATTTTCATTTCAGCTGGAGTGCCATACTATGCGTCTTCTTCCATATTTGGCATAGGTGCAAACACGGTCCTAATCATTATGATCATAGTGTAAGTACATTTGCTATATCGGTGTCACGTGCTTATGCCGTATGTGCTTTTACCTAGTTGATATTGTGTGCGGGCGTGCGTGCGTGTGTTTGTGTGCATTCGCATGTTGTTGTGTGTGGGGGGGCGCGTGTGCATGTGTGGATGTGTGCGTGTGCATGTGTGGCACTGTGTGTGTGTGCATGCGTGTGTGTGCGGTGCATGACCATACTTGACTGCATGTTGGTACTATAATAGTAGTAAATGCAGCTAGAATTTGATTGAATAATATTGTTTAAGAAATCTGCCACCTATAATGATACTCGATTTTTCCCTTATTTATAATGCTGTTTGTTTTTTAGGATGTTGTCAGTAGTAGTGGTGAATGTGATGCTGTATAGTCAGCTAAAGGCACTTGAGTACAAGAGCACACAACAAGATATTTATGGAGACTTGTTCGATTTCAACAAGATTGGGGGGTATGTGTGTAATTATATTTCTAATTTAAAGTTGATATATCTTATGCACGCATGTACGCACACACACGGTCATGCAAGCACGCACACTCACTCGTGCATAGCAAAGCTACGCGTAGAGAGTTGCATGAGAGATATTTTGAATTTTTATGCAATGGCAGATGCAATCATAATGATTATAGCTATTTCTTATTGTTTCCAAATGTATTCATAGGTGTGTCTGTATTATTGTTATTATCTTGAGCTGTGGATTGTATTAATTACCTAAATTGTGAGTTTAACTTATGTACTAATTTGCTTTCTTATCTTTAAAACCTATATTCTTTCAGTAATATATTTGCACTAACATGAAATATATGTCTTAAAACAATTACATCTTATAGAAGCTATCCCACATCGGATAACGACTGGCTGAAGCTGTTCTACCAACAAAAATACCTACACAATCAGGAGATGGAAAAGATGAGTGACGTTGTGACAGTGACAGCACAAATGGTTGAGCAGGTGAGCGAGCAGGTGCCAAGTTACTTCAGGTTATTAGTATCTACTAACTTGATCAATCAAATTTGAAAAAGTTATAGAAATAGTTCATTTAAATGCACTCCGGTCAAAGTGAAAATATGGCAAAAAATCCATATTTGGGGTGAACTATGCATAGAAGTATGAACCAGTTGATAATATTAATTTGTAGAAAATTGTAGATTACAAATTAATTGCTATTGCATGGTGATCTACACCAATGTTTATTTAACATTTTGAATTTCGAGGGGAAGTGGATTCTGTTATGTACAGACGGTTTGAGTTTTGCATACTGATAATTAAATTTTGTTCTGCTTATGTATGTATATATATATATATATATATGCATATTTTCTTAAATGTTAATTTTTTACACACAGGTCTTTAATAGCTCAAACTATAAAACCAAATGTGAAGACTTCAAGAAGCTATTCAAGGATCATGTGACTGAATCCGAACGTCTGCTTGCAGGTATTTTTACCGTGCAAACTGTGAATTTTGTCTTACAATGTAAAATATTTCATTCATTCATTCTATATCAGGAGTGAATTCTTTTTACTCACTCCTAATTCTATGCATGTTTCATGAAGTAGAGTGCACTATAACATGATGAATGCATAATTGAGACTGTTTCATATACTCAAGCTAACTTGCATATTTTTTCAGATATTATAAATGCTGATATTGGTATTTTTTATACCACAAGCATTTTTTATTAAAAATGTATATAGGTCTCATGACTAGCTAATCATTGAAACATTTGTAGCAAGGTTTTGACATGAAGTTACACAGTAATACATTGAGTTCATTGATTAAGCTAAAGATAAGATCACATGTATAAAGATTTGTCATGCATGCCTATCGATTCAATATTATTTGTTATTGTTGTTGTTGTTGTTGTTGTTATTACTTTCACCCCTCATAGTTTTCACTTATATTGAATCATTATAAAAGCCATCTAGACCTAGCTACAATATTCATTAGATGTCTTTAAAAGTTTACCCCATATTTCTCATTTTGCAGATTATTCATGTGGACTGCTGAAAGACATAATCATTCATGGGAGGTTATATATTTCACAAAATTGGGTGTGCTTCCGTGCAAACATTTTCAAGTGGGAAACTACTGTAAGTAAAGTATGACCGTTTCCATAACTTTTTAATTATTTCTTGTGGTTCATGCGTCAATGGTCGTTTAGGTTTATTATTACATTTATTTTTTATTTACGTCTAGAACCTAGGTTCTGGCTGCTCCTATTCCAACACAGGCTCTGACCCTGATATAATGTTACATAATGTATAAAGTGTAGCAATTTACTGGTACAGGTACTTACCGCGTACCCGTGAATACACAACGATATTTCCTGAAATTACAAAAATGTCAGAATTATAGTTATGACTATCATATGTCTTGTCAAGTTGTCATATATCGTCATGTTCTCATATCTTTTACACAACATTTCATTTGTATATGTATGCATTTGTTCGTGCAGGCGTGCGTGCGTGCGTGCATGCGTGCATGCGCTGTGCGTTTGTGTGGTGTGTGTGCGTGCGTGCGTGCGTGCGTGCCGTGCGTGCGTGCGTGCGTGCGTGCGTGCGGTGCGTGCGTGCGTGCGTTTTGTGCGTGCGTGTCGGCGTCTCTGGTGTGTGTGTGTGTGTGTGTGTGCGCATGTGAAGTTATACATTATGATTTCAGCGAACCCATGTCCAGTGCGTGCATTGGTGCATAATTAATTGGTAAACTATTAAGGTATGGTGGATATATTGAAAAATAGGTCCCATTGTCAGTATTTGTTAATCTCTTACATAAAGGGGCGAGTCTGTTTTTCGGTCTGTCTGTCTGTCTATCTTCTCCCCCTCGTAAGAGGTGACCCCCAACACCATATATATTCTGAATCAGCATGAGCGCGACGACCATTTTAGGCCAAAAAAATTTGACAAAAAATCTGACCCAAAAATTTGGCCAAAAAAATTGACAAAAAAAACGTAGCGGCCTCTTCTTCCTCCGACGCTCCTGCCGGAACAGGCAACACTTCGTTACCAACTTCTTCTGGCCAAGTCAGCCAGACGAGGAAGATTGCCCTGGCAGTTGCTTCAAGCGCATTGCTGCCACCCTGCTGGACGGAGAGCGCAATGCTCACTCGCCTTCAAGCTGCCATTCAACCTGGCCAAAGCGGGAAAATCCAACCGCCAACATTAGCCGTGGCTCCACAAAGGCCATGGCTGTTCCAAGAGTGCAAGCTCATCATCTGGGACGAAGCAACCAATGAGCCACAAAGGCGCCTTGAAGCACTCGACAACACCCTACAGGACCTTCGGCACAACACAAACGTCATGGAGTGTGCCCTCTCCTGCTCTCAGGCGACTTTCGGCCAAACCTTGCCAGTCATCGCCAAAGGAACAAGAGCAGATGCTGTCAATGCCTGCATCAAGTCGTCGTACCTCTGGAGCGAGGTGAACGCCACAGCCTGAAGACCAACATGAGGGTGCAGCCTCAGCGGCGATGAAGAAGCTGGCACTTCTCTTAGCAACTGCTGGAGGTCGGCAATAGCAGCATCACCACCACAGCTGATGGCCAAGTCAAGCCGCGATTCAGCAACGCAGGCGGACCATCACCTAGCTGATGACCAAAGTCTTCCCAAACCGTCACACTCCGCTACCAAGAACAAGACTGGTTGAAGCCAGCGAGCCATCCTTGCTCCCAAGAATTTGGACATGGATGACATCAACCGCCAAGCTGCCGAGCAACTGCCTGGCGACCCAACGAGCTACAAGTCGATGGACACAGTTCCTGATCCTCACCAGGTCATCACTATCCGACCGAGTTTCTCAACAGCCTGCACGCCTCAGGTCTGCCACACACAACTTGGTGCTCAAGTCGGGCGCCCATATTGCTAATGCGCAACCTGGATGCTCCAAAGCCTGCAACGGCACAAGGCTCACAGCTGAAGCAGCTTATGCAGAGTCATCGAAGCCAAAATCATGACAGGCAAGGGCAGCGGCGAAAATGTCTTCATCCAAGGATCCCGCTCATACTCATCAGACCTGCCATTTCATCTCAAGAGGCTGCAGTTTCAGTCAAGCTAAGCTTTGCCATGTCCATCAACAAGGCCCAGGGTCAGTCCCTCAGTGGTTGGACTCAACCTCAGTGAGCCAGTGTTCTCCATAGCCAGCTCTATGTGGGGGCTCCAGGGTGGTACCAAACAACCTCTAATCCTCTCTCAAGATGCAAGACCAGAATGTTGTGTACAAGAAGTGTAATCCGAAAACGAGTTGGGATGTCGAAGCTGGGGTCAAAGGTCAAAGGTCAAGAGTGTAAAAGAAGGGGGAACATTCCCTCTAACTTAAGGTATAGGGAGAAATGCAGAATTGCGGCACAAATCTAAACGGCTCGACCTAGGCTCGTGATAGTCGGTGTATAGCATCATGGTAGGAAAAGCCATCACTGTGCGAAATTGGCAGGTCACAGGTCAAAGGTCATAGGCACAGCAGCATTTTAGACATTTTCTGAGGACATGGTCAGACGGAACGATTGAAAAACTTTTTTGTTTCAGCAGTGACCTAGCATTTTTATGGCTTTATTGAGAAGGACCTTGAAATGTTACTTTCTGGCTGACATGCGAAGAGTAAGTGTCGGATACCTATTGACCCTCAAGAGGACGGTTAAACAGGATTTGTTTACTGTTAGAAAGAAATTTGACTGGCCGGTTTGCTAGTAGAATCTATACATGCCTGGATGTATGAGGTTACAATTCACAGTGAAATTTCAAAAGCTAAATTTGGTTGAAGAAGGTTTATGCTCCTTATGCTCCGTATAATTTCTATGGAATTCTTGTACTGTCAGTGTGTTACATGTAATGTATGCCACTGCCAGTGGCATGTGGTGGTGGTACTGTGTAGTTTTTGCCTGCTTAATTAGTTACAGGTGGCAGCTCTCTATTTGAGCCTGTAGGTTTGCGTAGGTAAATGGATGAGTGCTTACCTATTCTGTCTTGCAAATAGTTGTTGCTACTACGTACGATGGGAGCTTCCATCTTTATCCGAAGACACTTAAACGTCACGCGCCATCTCGTGCAACTTTTCATAACAGATCCCAACGAACATTCCTTGAGAAGGTTCCTGATACCATCCCTGTGCCTTCCACTGTTTCGGCGTGTATCGTGAACACATTTGCGGACTACAGGAGTTGACTAGAATCCCATCACTCCACCACAGAGTCACCGCAGTAGACGTTAGATGAGCGCTGTCGCTCCGCGGAACTTGTTTAGCAGCATATTTGCTTGTGCACTTAAGTAGTTGTTATTTCACTGGTTCTGGTTGCATATATTAGGAGTTAAATCAGGTTTTGTACTACTTTGAAGAATCACTAGGCCGTAGATATTTACCCTCAGGAGAATACTAGATCTGCAAAGTATGCATTATTATCTTTAGCTTTAAACTTCTGATTCTCTCATTTCGAAGATAGGAAGTCGATCACTTGTGCTCCATAATCATTGATCTGAAGTTCACTTCTAACTGTGACAGTGAACTTTATCTGCTTTATTAGGGTATTTGTGTTTACTAATAAATGTATTTTAACCATGCAGTTCAATAGTTCCACTCATATAATTTCCCTTTAGTTATACTACACGCAATTTTAGAAACAACATACAATAGGTTTCAATCTGTATTGTGGTTGCAACCAGGACAATATATAATAAACTCTATTTTTTCATATTAAAGGTTATTATCAACATCAAGTCCATCACGTCCATCACAAAGGAGAGAACAGCCCGTGTTGTGTCAAATGCTGTACAGATAACAACGTCAAGTGAACGTCACATCTTTCCATCAATAAACAACAGAGATAAGATTTACATGATGCTTTTCCGAATCTGGCAAAATTCCTTACTAGATCAGGTATGCTAAAAGTTATGCACGCATTACACGATGTTGTTTTATATTTTAAGAGAACATAAGAATTAAGGCTATAGTTAGGGGTGCTCATAGGGTCTATGTCCCCCAGGGTACTGCCGGAACGTACCCTGGGTACCCTGGGTAACTATTTGATATGGTTAGGGTTAGGGAGTAGGCGTAGGCGACTCCCTAGACTCGTTAGTGGCGTAGGCGAGGTACGGTCCGGCATATTAGATATTACCAGGGTACGTTCTGGTATACCGGACCGTACCCAGGGTACGTTCTGGCAGTACCCTGGGGGACATAGACCCTCTCAGCGTTAGTGGTGGGACCAGAGAGATGTACATTTGGTATTGCACTAAATATTATTGCTGAAATCATCTGCATAAAGACACATCACTATTTCTATCCTAATATCTGCATCTGTGTGCCCTAGATGTGTTGAAAGGCTATCATATGCGAGTCTTATTACTATAGCAACTAAATTAGGAAGTTATATCAATCCCTTTACTAGCAATGACGTGTACAATTTATCAGGTGCAGGATGTAGGCTGTAATCTATGGCACATATACAGATATATTAGTTGCAAATTAAGAGAGTTTAGAATTAACCAAGCAATTCTGTTTCTTCTCAAATAAGTCTATTTAGAGCAATTTACTTTTTAAACCTATAAATTTGCATTTTGGTAAAAACTAACCATTGTAAGAATAATGAATCCTAGAATATATAGGATATAAACGCATCTATCGGTCTTTACTTTCAGCCAATGTCACCACAAGATCTTTGGTATTGGATTCACAAGAACTATGGTGGTGACCTTGGATTGACAACTGAGGATGAGGATTATGTGGAGCCATCTAGCAACATTCCAGGAACTCAGTATTTAATCCATACGGATGACTATGACAGCAGCAGTTGTGACACCCATAGTATAAGTGATTCAGATACTCTGAAACATGCTAAAAAAAGGCAGAGAAGAAAGTCAGCAGCAGTCTATGCCCAGCATCTGAACGTCGATGAAGTGACGATTAAGAAGTCGTTCTCAGTCCCTGATATCGTAGTGAAAGTTGCCCTTGAAGTAAGACATAGAGCTCTATTAGACTAAACTTATTGCCGAGTTGTAGTAGTATTTTAGAGCAATTATCTTGGCATTTTGCATTCACTGGAAAACCGACATGTAAATCAATGCAGTTTTCTTACATAGTAATTATTGAATATAAGTTATTGTAGGTAGCAGCATCTCACATTCTTATTTTGCAGACTATGAAAACCAAATCCAGAATATAAATTTTTATTTTGCATCAGATTGTTATGGTCTTAAACTAACGAGCCTCGTTGCTGACAGTTGTCATGTACTTTATAAAATGACTCTTTATCATCATGTCATGTTGCTGTTTTTCATGAACAGACTAAGGGAACCGAAAAGAACAACAATACGAAATCACCAGCGAAAGGTGGCAAGACTAAGAGTAGTAAAAATGACACCAGCCAAAAGAACGAACCTGTGAAAGTGCAGAAGAATAGGACTCACTCAAATGACAGTACAGATAGCAGCTCTGAAGGGGAGGACAGTGGCGATGGGAGTGATGATGATGATGGTTAGCAAAGGTCTTATTAATGACAAGAGCGGGAGTGCATGTTACTGATCCTGATATTTAACTGTCAGAGCCTATATCAGTAGTTACATTGGTAGCATCAAAATTATCGAAAAATACATGTGGTACAAATGTGGCAATCAATATTTCATATTGGTTTCCATACATAATTTTTATCCTAGATTAATCATACATTATATTTTACCTACGTGCATACATCGTGCTAACACTAGCCGCTTGATCTTAATTTACCACCATGTATTATTTCATTTAAACTGTAGCTGCTTATGAATATAGCTTTGCAGACACTGATAGACATATTTTCTATTGTGTGTAAATATTCTAAAATTAATATAATAGTAGGTCATCATGTGGATCACTGTGATGTGTTTATTGTTGTAGGGCCAACATCATGCACATGTGATAATCACAATGGGTACAAGCCTATGGACATTGACCTTGATATATCTGCTAAGCAGGTGTACGAGAGCATATTCACAGATTCGCCGTGTATTCGGGACTTTCATGTCTCTAAGAAAATGTTTGGTATGTCAAGTTCTTATATTTACTTGTATAATCCATGCGGTTTCTTCAAATTTTTTCAGCACATGTTAATCATTTAGCAGAAAACCCTGTCACTACTCTTACTGTGATCATCCTTGCTCATGCTTCCTAATTACCTCCGCCAGGGGCTTGGCGGAGGTTATGTTTTCACCGGCGTGTGTTTGAGTGTTGGTTTGTGGGTTTGTGTGTTTGTGCATGGGTTGGTTTGTGTACAGCCTAACGCATGCACGCTCGTTCACCACACACCATGCCACAGAAACACACACGTACACGCATGCACGCTCGTTCACCACACACCCATGCACAGAAACCACACACGTACACGCACATGCACGCTCGTGTCACCACACACCCATGCCACAGAAACACACACGTACACGCATGCCGCTCGTTCACCACACACTCCATGCACAGAAACACACACGTACACGCATGCACCGCTCGTTCAGCCACACACCCATGCCACAGAAAACACACACGTACACGCATGCACGCTCGTTCACCACACACCCATGAACAGACGCACGCACAGAGACACGCACACGCGCGCACACATGCTCGCACGTACAGCACTAACAACATTAATGGCCAAAAGTCAAAATACAATTTACAGAGTGATTGGGCTAATATATTCAGTATTCCACACACAACAATAGCACCTTTCAAAATGACCAGATATTGGCAGATATTCCCAATAAGCATTTCATAATAATTTAACTAATAACGGCTATGTAAGCCATTTGAGACCACAACATGATGCCTGATGCACAAGTTTTCTCACCATTAAATAATACATTCATTATGATAATTACAACAGTAAATGACTGGAAGCATTCTATGTTAGCCAAGTTTATATCATTCGAAGGTTTAATCTTAAGTTAATTGTATAAAAATGCATTACCATGTACTCAGTATGCCCATGTACAAACAGAAGAACCAGGTTTGTGGGTTTGTAGACTTATTATTGAAGGTTACCTTCTTTAACTGTTTGGTGGTCGTTGGTCAAAACACTGTGATATGGTTATTGTATTGGTAGCAAGTGCATCCTTAAGATCGGTAATCGACTTCTGCATCTGTAAAATTTTAAAATGTAATAAAACATTAGCTACACACACGCCCGCACGAGCGTGCACACAAACACACATAAATTTCGCTCTCTCGCTCTCGCTCTCGCTCTCGCTCTCGCTCGTCTCTCTCTCTCTCTCTTCTCTCTCTCTCTCTCTCTCTCTCTCTCTCCTCTCTCTCTCTCTCTTCTCTCTCTCTCTCTCTCTCTCTCTCTCTCTCTCTCTCTCTCTCTCTCTCTCTCTCTCTCTCTTATATATATATATATATATATATATATATACATACATAAGCAGATACAAAATTTAATTATCAGTATGCCAAAACTCAAACCGTCTGTACATAACAGAATCCACTTCCCCTTCGAAATTCAAAAATGTTAAATAAACATTGGTGTAGATCACCATGCAATAGCAATTAATTGTTAATCTACAATTTTCTACAAATTAAATTATCAACTGGTTCATACTTCTATGCATAGTTCACCCCAAATATGGATTTTTTGCCAATATTTTCACTTTTGACGCGAGTGCATTTAATGAACTATTTCTATAACTTTTTCAATTTGATTGATCAAGTTAGTAGATACTAATAACTTGAAGTAACTTGGCACCTGCTCGCTCACCTGCTCAACCATTTGTGCTGTCACTGTCACAACGTCACTCATCTTTTCCATCTGCCTGCATTGTGTAGGTTATTTTTGTTGGTAAACAGCTTCAGCCAGTCGTTATCCGATGTGGGATAGCTTCTATAAGATGTAATTGTTTTAAGACATATATTTTCATGTTAGTGCAAATAATATTACTGAAAGAATATAGGTTTTAAAGATAAGAAAGCAAATTAGTACATAAGTCAAACTCACAATTTAGGTATTAAATACAATCCACAGCTAAGATAATAACAATAATACAGACACACTATGATACATTGGAAACAATAAGAAATAGCTATAATCATTATGATTGCATCTGCCATTGCCATAAAATTCAAAATATCTCTCATGCAACTCTTACGCGTAGCTTTGCTATGCACGAGTGAGTGTGCGTGCTTGCATGACCGTGTGTGTGCGTACATGCGTGCATAAGATATATCAACTTTAAATTAGAATATAATTACACACATACCCCCCAATCTTGTTGAAATCGAACAAGTCTCCATAAATATCTTGTTGTGTGCTCTTGTACTCAAGTGCCTTTAGCTGACTATACAGCATCAACATTCACCACTACTACTGACAACATCCTAAAAAACAAACAGCATTATAAATAAGGGAAAAATCGGAGTATCATTATAGGTGGCAGATTTCTTAAACAAATATTTTCAATCAAATTCTAGCTGCATTTACTACTATTATAGTACCACATGCAGTCAAGTATGGTCATGCACCGCACACACACGCATGCCACACACACAGTGCCACACATGTCACACACGCACATCCACACATGCACACGCGCCCCCCACACACAACATGCGAATGCACACAAACACACGCACGCACGCCGCACACAATATCAACTAGGTAAAGCACATACGGCATAAGCACGTGACACCGATATAGCAAATGTACTTACACTATGATCATAATGATTAGGACCGTGTTTGCACCTATGCCAAATATGGAAGAAGACGCATAGTATGGCACTCCAGCTGAAATGAAAATAGAATTATATATAATAAATTATATATAATAAATCTATTATATTTATGGCAGGCAATAGTTCATTCAAGAAATTAGTCAGCGCCACAAAATCTTACCACTTTTTGGTACACCTTGGCGGTGCCCTCTGCACTGCAATTTTTGGCTTAAATTCGGCATTGGGTTCTGCAGAGCGCAGTTTTCCAGATGATTTGGGTGTGTTTGCATGCTCTTTCAATTTTCTCAGCTGGGAATCGAAAACACGGTTATTTTAGACAAAAATACATATATTATAAGAACACTGAAACATCAGTTGACACAAATTAAACTACTAAATCCAGCACGTGACAGGCA